AACTTTTATTTGCCGTACTCGCCTTTAACTGTTAGCTCAGGTTAATCTCACCCCCCTCCGAAGTAAGCGTGACGTATGCGGTCGGTCTAGAAGCAAGAACCGCATACGTCACGCTTACTTCGGAGGGGGGTGAGATTAACCTGAGCTAACAGTTAAAGGCGAGTACGGCAAATAAAAGTTGTAACAAGCAGTAGTGCTGAGCAAAGTTCTGTTTATTTGTGCCTTACTTTGACCATCCGTTCGCTGTTATTGATCATTACTGAGAGCAGGCAGAAGAGTTGTTTTGTATGATAGCAGCTATCGGATGGAATCAATACATGGGCTGCACAGGTTGTCATGTCCGACTATCACAAGTAGAATCATAATGAAAAGGTAAAATGTGCCTGTAGAAAACGGCTTATGCAACAATAGGATAGCAACAAGTAGTCAAGATAGTCAGTTTAGCTTCGGTTGCTATGCTAACCTCACCCATTTTATAACAGAGAAACTTTCATAACAGCATTGTGATGCCAAACAGCGTCAATTCAGACTGAAACACATTCACTTAAGGGGAACTGGGGATATGTATCAGCTGCTTGTGTGACAGTCAGACAGTGAATACTTTGTATTGAGCTAACGGGAGAATACACTACGGTGGAAGAGCAGCACTACAGCGGTCGGTAAATGCCGCTGAAACACATTAATAAACAATGAACCACGGCACTATGGAGAAAAGTATAAGGTGGGAGAAGTCGTTCTAATTTAATCTGGCTTTGTGTGATTAAAAGCAACACGATCATCGGCCCGACGCAGCCCCCCTTGTTTTGTTTGTTTGTTTTTTATTAGGATCCCCATTAGCACTAGCATGAGCATTGGCTATTCTTCCTGGGGTCCTCACCCACACAAAACATACATAATACAAACCAGAACGGAACAACTCATCATTTCATGAAAAGTGCATGGTAAGGAAGTGAAAGCAAAAACAAAACAGAAAAAAATAGTCATCACATTTTAGCCATCATCAAGTCAAAACCTAAACAAAATTTTACCAACAATATAATTTACATGATAATACTAATTACTAATTACTGTTGTTGTGATCGCCGTATCACCGCTGGGGAGAAAATCAGCGACGTAAACGGTAACGTCATGACACAGCAGAGGCAGCACCAGTCGGGCTCGGGGCGTTGTGAACAAAACAGGGGCTGAAAATAAAAACCGGTTCCAAACCAGAAAAGCTCTAGAGGAGCTAGAACGGGAACCGCGTTGGTGTGAAAGGGGCACTAGAGGACTCTCAGATCATGAGAAACCAAATTGTCTAGTTTGATGAAACCAACAAGGATCTCTTTGGCCTGAATGCCAAGCATCATGTCTGGAGGAACCCAGGCACCGCTCATCACCTGGTAAATACCATCCCTACAGTGAAGCATGGTGGTGGCAGCATCATGCTGTGGGGATGTTTTTCAGCAGCAGGAACTGGGAGACTAGTCAGGATCAAGGGAAACATCAATGAAGCAATGTACAGAGAGATCCTTGATGAAAACCTGCTCCAGAGCGCTCTGGACCTCAGACTGGGGCCAAGGTTCACCTTTCAACAGGACAACGACCCTAAGCACACAGCCACGATAACAAAGGAGTGGCTTTGGGACAAGTCTGTGAATGTCCTTGAGTGGCCCAGCCAGAGCCCAGACTTGATCCCGATTGAACATCTCTGGAGAGATCTGAAAATGGCTGTGCACCGACACTCCCCATCCAACCTGATGGAGCTTGAGACGATCTGCAAAGAATGATGGGAGAAACTGCCCAAAGATAGGTGTGCCAAGCGTGTAGCATCATACTCAAGAAGACTTGAGGCTGTAATTGCTGCCAAAGGTTTGACATGCAAAACACGACACTGTAGCTTTAAGGCATCATAAAACATTCTGCACAATCTGCTTAGCACCAATTATTTTTTCTTCACCGGAAAGTGGGCGGGGCCATTATCTCACCAGGCAGTGACGTAGCTTTGCTCTCGTCTATAGGAACCGATGACCACAATGGAAATGTTAAATGTCCTATTTCAAATGTTATTGTTTCGACATAACACTGGTAGTCACCGATAGTTCTCCAGTAAAACGTGTACTTTTACATTTCAGAATGCCAGCACCTACTTCGTACTAAATTATCGGTTATTTCGACAGTCAGATACAGCCCCTTTGTGACTCACAGCCCCCCCCCCCC